ATTATGAAAATGAAATGGAAGTTTTGGAAGTTGTGATTTGGGGTTTAGGAAGATGTAGAGGTATAAGTTATGGAAGTTGGGGTTTAGGGTTTGTGGTTTCAAATTTTAGGGATATACAAACCTTTCCTCGTAAAATCTTAGTGATGTGAAAACAGGGGACTTGTTATTTCCTCGTAAAGTCCACGTAAGCCGTTTTCCTCGTAAAGTCCACGTAAGCTGTTTTCCTCGTAAAGTCCACGTAAGCCGTTTTCCTCATAAAGTTCACGTAAGCCTTTTCCTCGTAAAACCCTCGTGAGTTGAAAACACGGGACTTGTTATTTCCTCGTAAAGTCCTCGTAAATTCCACGTAAGCTTTTCCTCGTAAAATCTTCGTGAGTTGACACATGACTCGTTGTTTTCTCGTAATGGGACTAGGATTTTACGAGTAAACCAAAATACCTATATAAATCGAAGTAATCCGATTTATATCATTTGTAGTTATCTCCTCTCTTTTTCCTCTTAATGTAATAGTTAGGGAAGTTAAATTAGGTGGTTAGTTTAGAGTTTAGGGTATAGGGAATTTAGATTAGGTGGTTAGTTTAGGAAATTTAGATTAGGTTGTTTATTTTTGGAAATTTATATTATGTTTTTTTAAATGTTAATTACTAATATATTTATGTTTTTTAAAAATGTTTTAATGTTTTAGATGGTTAGAGCGCAAAAGCTTAAGGGTAAGCAGCGGCCGCCAGTCGGATCATCTTCTTCAGGTCCTCATACAGGCGGGACTCATTACGGGACATTTTTGGCTGTGAGCCAGGTCCTCATACAGGTGGATCATCTTCTTCAGCTCCCGGTTCTTCGATTCCGGAGAGTGTTCCCGAGTATAAGTTTTCGCCACCCGTTCTCCCGTTTGCTGCACCACCCAGACATCATCACATTCGAGAGGAGGTACTTACTCCTCCTCCTCCTCTTCCTTTGTGGCCAGGGTTCATCCCAATATGCAAGTGCCGCCAGATACTCTGTATGCTATGTACACCGTCGATCCTCCTCCTCCTCATGTAGCCGGGGTTCAACCCGATTTTCATGTGCCGCCATATACTCTGTATGCTATGTACACCGTCGAGGATCTTCTCGCTCAGCCAGGCAGAGAAGGTTTACCGGTCCTAGATCCCCACCGACTAGACAACACTTACTGGTATGTTTCATTTTTTATTTTTTATTTATTAACTAATAAATTTAATACTTTTAATTTCTTTTTTGTTCATGTTTAGGGTTGACAATTGTGTCGCTCGGAGCGGCACCGACTATATCAAAGGCTACTTCCCTGATGCAGCTCCAAACTAGAAAATGACGCCTCTCCACACCAGAAAGACGTGGTTCAAAATGTTCGCTGTAAATAATTAGTAAAAAGTTTGAAATTATTGAATTTTTCAAATATTATTGAACTAATTATTATTCTAATATTTTTTCTGTTTTTAGAAAAAAATGGCGTTGGTCCATAAGGGTGAACAAGCGGGTGAAGCGTGAGTTTGGGCAGAAGGTGAAAGCACGATTACTCGACATGGTCTCCAACTGGAAGGACGATTATGAGGTGGATGGTTATGAGAAGGGGAAACCCTCTTGCCTCACATATTTGGTGTGGGATGGACTCATCCATTATTGGAACCAGCCAGAGTCGATCAGAACCTCCAACAACTGCTCCGCTAACCGTTTGACCAAATATGAGTATGGCAACACAATGATGCTCCACAGTTTAGGTCAAAAACCTCACGCTGGAGTTCATCTAGATATGATAAATTTGTTAATAACTAACTATATATATTTTTTTTTTTTAATTAATTTTTTTAAAATATGTTTTGGCTAAAGAGACAAGAATTCCTCCATCTCTCAAGGAGCTTTACGAGAGGACCCACAAGAACAAGCCTGGGCAATTTGTAGATCCCCGGTCTCATCGAATCTACAACGAGGTTATTTCTCGGGTTGAGGAGCGCCAAACCCAGCTGAGTCAGCAGGCTCTTGATGGGACACCCGTCATATTATCCACACCTGACGTGGATCGGATTTTCGAAGGATAAAATTTGTTTTTTTATTATTATTATTCATTTAATTTATGTTTTTCATTAACTAACATTAATCTTTTATTTACAGGTCGTCCCTAAGAAAAAATGGACGTATTGTTGTGAATGGTTCCGTTAATGATGTCGCAAGAGCGAAATCGTCTTATGCTAAGAACGGGACAATGAGAATGCTTAGCTGCGTTTGGAGTTGCAGGCAAAGCGTTCTGATTTGAGCGTTACGCAAGCTCAAATGGGTTCGCTTAAAGGTTTTCTGGACATTTTGGCGGCTGGAGATCCGCAATTAGAGATGATGTTGCGTGCCAAGCGGGAACAACTAGGGATTCCACACCCACCGCCACAGCCACAGCTACAGCCACAACCACAGCCAACCCGCAAAGAGGAGGACGACGAGGTAGAGAGGAGTGAAGATTTCGTCCGCCAGTTTCACGAACAACACCCGTAGTTTTTTTTTCTTTTTATTGTATTATAAATTTTAAAACTTAAATATTTATGCATATATTAATTTTCTTCTATTATTTGAATTTTAGATTTAAAAAAATTGAAAATAATTTAATTATTATTTATAATTTAGGAAAAATAAGGTTTCCGAATAAATTCCTCGTAAATTTACAAGGATTTTACGAGGAAAAGTTTACGAGGCAGTAACGAGGAGAAGCTTTACGAGGCTCTTACGTGGCTTTAACGAGGAAACTATTACGAAGGCTTTACGAGGAAAGTTGTACGTGGCTTTAACGAGGAAAAATTTACGAGGCTTTTACGAGGAAAGAATGTAGACGACTTTACGAGGAAAATTTTCCTCGTTAATTAACGAGGAAAGAACGAAGAAAGTTGTGTTACGACGAACGTGTCACGACGAAAGGCGTTTCCTCTGTATTTCCTCGTAAACTCCCTTTTACGAGGAAATAACTAGAAAATGCCGTCCTAGCTTTAAATGTGTTTTCTTATAGTGAATAAAAATAATAACTCAATATTTATGTACAATAAACATAAAGTTTTAAAAGTTAAATAAATACTCACACGGATGTGTTGATCAAATTCTAGTATACGATTAAATTATACTAATACAAATCTCAAAATGACTTAACCGAAAATAATCCTATTGGCTAAAGACTTGACTCTGTCACTGCTGAAATAATAGAATAAATAAGAAAATAAAAACTGATTTGTAAATAAGAAAAAAATTCAAGAATATATCACAGTATAATCTCTTTAAATTAATACTCTATAAATTAATATATACTAAATTAATAACCTCTATAAATTAATAAAAAAATATTGTTTTGGTATACTCTATAAATTAATAAAAAAATTATTGTTTTGGTATACTTTGTATTCCCTAGTTAGACGAGTAGTAAAATTTTAGACTTGTACTTAGTTTATAAAAAAAATGAGTATTTGCAGTTTCAAATATTTGTTAAAAATGACTGATTTACAAATTACTTACTTTGTTTTATAGCTTGTTAATTGTAATTTATTTACAATTTACTTGATAATTATTAGTAAATTATCTGATAATTGTTGAATTTTAAAAGTAAATAACTTTATTATATATAAAAATATGTCATTTTCTGTTTTTAGTCAATTCTAGAAATGTAATATATAAGAATACTTCAAGATACTTATATAAATATATCATTTATGTTTGATACATTTATAAAAATAAAAATAAAAAATGAATTATTTTATTATGATTTAGAAAAATATATTTTTGTTCATCAACAAAAATAAGTAACAAACCAAACAACGCCAATTAAATATTTTTATTTTAACTTTTGATATTTGTCTTGTATTTGGAAGTAATTTAAATAGATTACTTGATACTGGAAACAAAAATGCAATGCAGTAGATAACAAGTAACATAACAAGTACATGATACTCTTTCAGTTTCAATATAATACATGTTTTAGAAGAAAAAAATTGTTTCTAAAAAATCCATATTTTACATTTTCAAGGTATTAGTTTATATTAAATTGTAAATTTCAAAACGTTTATTAAAATCCTATTGATCAAAAGTTATGAAAATAGTATAATACAAAAAGTAATACATTGATAATTTAAAATTCATATTTTTTTAATATGTGTGAAAATATTAAAACATACATCTTATTGAAACAGATGAAATAACATGCAACAAATCAAATAATGAAGTCAGAAATTGACACTTGACTTATACTCACTAGTAAAAAAATCCACTTACTTATTATTCAATTTGATTGTATCAAATATTTATTTATTCAAACTGAGAGGAGTCAAATAACAAGTATAAGCGGGTATGAGATAGTAGTGCCTAATCCTAAGTAAAATACATGCATTTTTTTTTTTTTTAACTTTGGGGGTATTTCAATGGAGAGATCTAGACTAATTCCCAAAAGAGTGGTATTCAAATAGGCCGTAAAATAGATCTATATCCATGTGACCACAAGATAAAATGTAGTGGAATGCATTCGAACCTTAATTGCTTAGCAAATCCTAAAACTCGTTTACTACTAGACCACCGTCTCGTGGTTAAAATACATGCATTTGCAAAGATCAATGCTTTGTTCTATGCAAAAACGATCATTACAAAAGTTCAAATTAAAAGTCTAAACAGTCGTTGTCACCATCTCAACTACGACAATAACATGTCATATTAAAAAACTTTAACCTATATAAATTTTATGTGTAAATATTTGCATCTATTTGTGATATAATATAATATTGACCATATCAACATGAGAACAATAAACACATGAAGATTTCATAATTATCTATGCATCTCATGATTATGTATGCATTAACGCACATAACTCTTTGGATTAAATAAAGTTGCCGGATTCTTCGTGAACGTGCATTTGAATATCTTAACTAATAAAGTTGGGTTTCGCCGGTAAAGAAACAAAACATTTCTTCTCCAAACTTTCTGATATGCCGCGATTCTAATGGCGATTTTCTTTTCTTGAGGTGATGCTGGTTTTCTCGGTGTCAAGGTTCGAACAAGTTTCGATTGTTAGTTTTAATTGGTTTCGATTGGTGGTTTTGAAGAGGATTGAAAATGGATTTCTCCAATTCTGTGAGAAACAAAGGATCTGGGGAAGGCGGCGTTCCGTTTCTGGAAGATTCCTGAGGAATCGATACGGGTATGGGCCAGATAGGTTTACAAGGTACAATATCACAGATTCTATTGTATTTATGAGTGGAATTTTGATTTCCATCAAGTTGAAGAGCATATCTATGTGGGCTCTGGTTTTAGAAAACAGAATTGAAAATATGGTATTGATGGGGGAGGTTTTAGTATCTTCGAGATTTGATTTGGAAAATTGGTTCATCAAGGTTTACTTTATTCTGGAGTTACCTCATTGTCGGTTGGGGTTATGCTGGAGTGGGTTAGTAGTTTATTTCTGTGAGGTCTGCTTCACGCTTGTTTTGGTATACTGGCTCTGTAAGTTTTGTGATGATGTGTTAAATTATCTGAGAGAGACTATAAGTGTGATAGAAATTTTGAATGCGGTTTCATTTAGTTTTTTAAAAAAAGGCTTGCTTACACTGAGTATATTAATGTATGTTGACAAGGTCTTTGGTATTGTTTCTTTGGTGTTGAAAAGGTTTCAGGACATCGTGGTGAGTGAAAGGAATGTTATTTCCAATAACAGTCTCTTGAAATTTAATGAGGTAACGTGGTCTCCAGGTGGTTTCAACATGGTAAAAGCATGTCAGCCTCTGTTTTTGATGGATATTTATCATTGTGGCGATGATGATGTGTATTTAATATTGCTACTTTGGTCTGGATATGAAAGGTTTCGGTCAAGATTTATCATTTCTTCTAATAAGTTAAATACTTTAAGGGATGGACAGACTTGTGATAATGGTCAATGTGGGAAGCAAATGTGTGAGGTAGTTACACGTTTTGGTTTGGTTGCTGGTGACAAATTAAAGAAAGTGATAAGGGCCTTGCGGTGTTATGAGTTGGCCTCAGGGTTTAAGGGTCGTATTTTAATATTTTGGGTTGACTCTTCATCACAGCAGAAGCATAAAGTATATAAATTCTGCTGGGGCTATAAAATAATAGGTGGAGGTTTATTGGAATGGATTGATATGGGATCTTTTGAAACTTTTAGAATAATTGTGTATCATGAGTATTTTAAGTTGGAATTGCAGAGGGGCTGGTAATTCAGACACAGTCCAACGTATTCGGAATTTTCGTCGTCAATATTTCCCGGATTTTTTATTTCTCATGGAGACGAAACAGAGATTTGGTTATATGGATGCTTTAAAAGCAAGTCTGGGATATGATCATTTACACACGGTCGAACCTACTGGTCGAAGTGGGGGTCTATCCCTAATGTGGAAAGGTTGTTATATAGTAGAAATTCTATATAGTGACAATAGAATTATTGATCTTAAAATCACAATGGGTTCTTTGGTATTTTTTATGTCTTGTGTATATGGTGATCCAGTTAGAGGAAGGAGACAAGTGGTTTGGGATAAACTGATTGATATCGGTGTGAATAGGGACGACGCTTGGGTCTTGATTGGGGATTTTAATGAACTAATGAATAATGAGGAAAAATTAGGTGGAGCTATCAGAGATGAAACCACTTTTTTTGACTTCCGTAATATGGCTGAAGCGTGTAAACTCAGAGAAATGAGGTATACTGGAAACTCCCTTTCTTGGGCTGGCAAGAGGGACCATCACTGGGTACAATGCCGGCTTGATAGAACTTTTGGTAACGCAGAATGGTTCCGGTTTTTTCCACAATCGTCTACTGAATATATGAGTATGTGGCCCTCTGATCACCGTCCTTTACGTGTAGAGTTTGTATATGAACCGGAAATTTTACCGAGGGGTAGATTTTATTTTGATAAACGTTTATTTGGGAAAAGAGGGGTTAATGAGGCTATTATCCGCGGATGGGATGCTGAGAACATAAACTCAAATCTATCGGTTCTTGATCGTATCGCTCGGTGTAGGTCGGAATTATCTAAGCTTAAAAAGGCGAATGATTGGAATTCAAAAACTAGGATTGACCGGTTACAGAGTGACTTAGATAAAGAAAGTTCCAAACAATATCCTATTTTTGGTTTGATGAGACGGTTAAGACAAGAATTGGCGGCGGCTTATCGGGAAGAGGAGATTTTTTGGAGACAAAAAAGTAGGGAGGAATGGTTAAGGGAAGGAGATAGAAATACCACTTATTTTCATAATGTGGTAAAGGGGAAAATAATTAAAAATAGAATTTTGATGCTCAAAGATATTTTTGGTAATGAACATTATTCGGAAGGATCGAAAGGCCATATCGCTACAGAATATTTTCGGGAGTTATTTACCAGTTCCAACCCAACTGATCTGGAAACACTGTTCGAGGGTTTTGAAAGCAGGGTTACCTCCGAGATGAACACATTATTAGTAAGGGAGGTAACCGCTGAGGAAATCAAGAATGCAGCTTTTGGTATTAAAAGTAGTAGTGCTCCTGGGGAGGATGGACTTACGGGTTTTTTCTATCAGAAATACTGGCACATTATAGGTCAGAAAATTATTCAGGATGTTCAAGGTTTCTTTAGAACATCCATCATTCCTGCAGGATGGAATCATACACAATTATCTTTGTTGCCTAAGACTATCAATCCTTCAGAAATGAAGGATATGCGCCCAATTAGTTTGTGTAGTGTCCAATATAAAATCATTTCTCGTATTCTGTGTGATCGTCTGAAGACGGTTTTACCACATTTAATATCAGAAACTCAAGGGGCTTTTGTGGGAGGAAGGTTAATAACGGACAATATTATTATAGCTCATGAGCTAGTACATGCGCTTCGTACAAATGAAAAAATTGGTAAAGAATGTATGGCCATTAAAACTGACATGTCAAAGGCTTACGATCGGGTGGAATGGAACTTTTTAGAAGTTTTACTAGAAAAAATGGGATTTCATAGGAAATGGGTTGTCTGGATAATGTCATGTATCAATACAGTTTCTTTCTCAGTTCTACTTAACGGACGCTCTCATGGTTTTATTAAACCAGAAAGAGGTATTCGTCAAGGTGATCCGCTATCTCCTTTTTTATTCATTTTATGTGCCGAAGCTCTGGTTCATGTACTAAATAGATCGGAAGCACAAGGAAAATTGCATGGTATAAAGTTAGCTTCGGGCAGCCCGCCTGTCCACCATTTGTTGTTTGCAGATGATAGTTTATTGCTATGTGAAGCCTCTGTAAGTGACAGTGAAGAAATTATGAAAGGTTTAAAATGTTATGGAGATGCCTCTGGGCAAATGATTAACCCCTTGAAATCCTCCATTATTTTTGGAAAAAAAATAGATAATGCTCGTAAACAGACGATCAAAGAGGTTTTAGGTATCCAAAAAGAAGGTGGTGATGGGTCTTATCTTGGTCTCCCTGAATGTTTTCAAGGCTCAAAAAAAGCGCTCCTCAATTTTATCAAGGAAAAATTAGAAGGAAGGTTACAGGGATGGTACTCTAAAACGTTGTCAATGGGTGCCAAGGAAGTACTAATAAAATCAGTTGCTTTGGCACTACCAATATATGCAATGTCTGTCTTTAGGTTACCAAAAGGTCTGTGTGAAAGAATCACGAGTGTAATAATAGAATTTTGGTGGAGTAGTGGGGATAAAAAAAGAAAGATACCTTGGGTCTCTTGGGAAAAACTTTGTAAACCAAAAGAACAGGGTGGTCTTGGGTTTCAGGATATTGGTCGTTTTAATCAGGCATTACTAGGGAAACAAGCTTGGCGGATATGGAATAACCCAGATTCGTTGGTTGCTCGAATACTTAAAGGTAAATATTTTAAAAATGGTGATTTTTTGGAATGTGGAATGGGGACACGGCCATCTTATGCATGGAGGAGCATCATGCACGGAAGAGAATTACTTAAACAAGGTCTATATCGACATATTGGTACTGGATCTGATACGAATGTCTGGGCTGAGAATTGGATTATTGACACTATCCCACGGCCACCAATGTATCGCGAAAACAGTTCTATTAATTTGGCTCTTAAAGTCTCGGATCTGTTACGACAAGGGTCTAATCAATGGGATATTAGTCTGTTACAGCAGACTTTTAGCCCGGAGGATGTGCAAAGGATATTACATCTAAAACCCTTAATGGTATGTCCGGACTCTCTTAAATGGGGTTTCACACAAAATGGTTCTTATACGACGCGAAGTGGATATAAATTATCAGAGGCTTTGGTAGACTATAATCACCCTCAAGGGCAATCACTCACCCCTATGGAAAAAAAATTATGGCGGGAGTTATGGAAAACAAAAGCTCCACCAAAAATTAAACATTTTATGTGGCGGGCGCTATCAGGTGCTTTAGCTGTGAAGCAACGTTTGAATACTCGGGGTATTCCGTTAGACCCAACCTGCCCAATTTGTGGAAATGAGGTGGAGACTATTTGTCATGTTTTATTCACATGTGTGAAAGCACGTGACGTTTGGGATCAAGCTAATGTCCCAGTTCCTTTAGGAGGTTTCTCTAGAAATTCGACATTTTTAAACTTTGTTCATTTACTTAAGATTGCTAAAAGTGGTTCTTTGGATCTCCATACAAAAAAGGTTTTCCCATGGTTGTTATGGGAAATTTGGAAGGCTAGGAATTCATTTATTTTTAAGAGACAGGCATTAGAGTCTTCTTTTATTGCTAAAAGGGCTTATGAAGATGAACTCACATGGCACGATACATTTACTGAATCGAAGGATCAAGTGGATGCTATGGTCATTGAAAAGTATCATTGGGTGAAACCCCCCGCTGGAATCCTAAAATGTAATGTAGGATCCTCATGGGTAAATCCAAATCAGCCGAGCGGTGCATCATGGATTATTCGCGATGAAAACGGAACCACCATCATGCATAGTCGACGGGCCTACTCATACATGCGCACAAAAACCGAGGCCGACCTATGGGCTCTCTTCTGNTCGTATATCGCTCGGCATTCCCCATCATGGCTGCATCACTTACTCGTATTGGAGGCTAAATAAGTAAGGAAGTGGTTAATTATTGCTTCTATTATCTTATATCTTTATGACGGTGTCTACTGACATCTTTCTTTTCGTTATTAGTCTATGTAATTGTTCACTTGAACTATTGTTACTATCCAGTGTTAAAAAAAAAAAATAAAGTTGGGTTTTTATTTCTCTTTGGGAGAATCAATGACATATGTCAATTTTGAAATGGGCTTACTGTGGCTTTTTTGAGGTTATGTTTATCCTTCCAGATTTGAGGCCCATTAGTATCTTCCTAATTTGAGGTATGTTAGTATCTTCCGAACATCCATAGCATAGATTTAAGGCCCGTTAGTATCTTCTGAACATCGTTAGTACCTTCTGTACATATTTGTTTTTAAAGATCAATCTGAGATTTTAATTTTTCCCTGGGTACGGTTATTTATTAGTGTCTAGGTGTCGTGTTTCATGACGGTGGAAAAGTCCCTGAGGGAGTTCATCCTGAACGTGTGCCTCGAGAAATTGATGGTCAGGTTGGTAACCCTGGTGATAGTGCAAATAATCCAACAATGTCCGCTATTACAAGTGATAACCATCCACAACATGCTAGAGTCGAATCTGATGTTGATGAAAATGCAAGGAAGAAGGCCCATGTGGAATGAGGCCAACCCCACAGCATGAACATCCACATATGCTTCCTTTCCGAATAATGCTCTGCTTATTTTCCTTTTTTTTGTTTTTTTATCTATCTGATTTCAAACTTTATGGTTATTGTTTTTTTTTTCAAAACTATTGGTCTTTGTTATTGGAGAGATGTTCGGTTTATCTGTTTAACATTTATTAGACCTGATTTTCATAATTTGTTGCTTCATTTTCACCAGGCACTAACATTTGACATGTATACGAAACAAGTTAATGTGAATACATAAAAAAATAAAGTAATAGTTTCGAATAGTATACTTACTAAGTTTATGTTTAGCTGATATAAGAGTCAACTAAAGCATCTGAATATTTTTGATTTAATAAATTCTTCATGTATTTTTATTTGAACTTTCTGTTATTTCACGAGGTTGTGAAATATTCCGGAGCACTTTACTTTTTGGTTATGATTATTAAAATTGATAAAAACTATATAGTAAACACAGCTTGATTTAACCTCATAAATGTGCCTTCATTCGCTGACAAACTTACGGCACAAGTTAAGACAAATGATGTTTATGCTTTGGAATTTAAAGTTGGGTTTTTATTTCTCTTTGGGAGAAAAAATGACACATGTCAATTTTGAAATGGGCTTACTGTGGCTTTTTGAGGTTATGTTTATCCTTCCAGATTTGAGGCCCATTAGTATCTTCCTAATTTGAGGTATGTTAGTATCTTCCGAACATCCATAGCATAGACTTAAGGCCCGTTAGTATCTTCTGAACATCGTTAGTACCTTCTGTACATATTTGTTTTTAAAGATAAATCTGAGATTTTATTTTTTCCCTGGGTATGGTTATTTATTAGTGTCTTGGTGTCGTGTTTCATGACGGTGGAAAAGTCCCTGAGGGAGTTCATCCTGAACGTGTGCCTCGAGAAATTGATGATCAGGTTGGTAACCCTGGTGATAGTGCAAATAATCCAACAATGTCCGCTGTTACAAGTGATAACCATCCACAACATGCTAGAGTCGAATCTGATGTTGATGAAAATGCAAGGAAGAAGGCCCATGTGGAATGAGGCCAACCCCACAGCATGAACATCCACATATGCTTCCTTTCCGAATAATGCTCTGCTTATTTTCCTTTTTTTGTTTTTTTATCTATCTGATTTCAAACTTTATGGTTATTGTTTTTTTTTTTCAAAACTATTGGTCTTTGTTATTGGAGAGATGTTCGGTTTATCTGTTTAACGTTTATTAGACCTGATTTTCATAATTTGTTGCTTCAATTTCACCAGGCACTAACATTTGACATGTATACGAAACAAGTTAATGTGAATACATAAAAAAATAAAGTAATAGTTTCTAATAGTATACTTACTAAGTTTATGTTTAGCTGATATAAGAGTCAACTAAAGCATCTGAATATTTTTGATTTAATAAATTCTTCATGTATTTTTATTTGAACTTTCTGTTATTGACACGAGGTTGTGAAATATTCCGGAGCACTTTACTTTTTGGTTATGATTATTAAAATTGATAAAAACTATATAGTAAACACAGCTTGATTTAACCTCATAAATGTGCCTTCATTCGCTGACAAACTTACGGCACAAGTTAAGACAAATGATGTTTATGCTTTGGAATTTAAAGTTCACGTACATAGTTTCTGTAGAGCTACCAGTTACAAGTAACAGAAGATTTATGCATAGAAAGCAAATGCTCCAGCCCAGTGCGATCAACATGAAACACTGCCTCCACGACATTAGCTTGCTTTAGGTTTTAATAGGTGACTCCTCAGAAACTCAGCTTCTTAATTATAACACTCGCACCAGTCTCGAACTCATCCATTCTTGAACTCAGTCTCTCTGAATTTCTCACAAGAACCGAAGGAACTCAAAAGTACTCTCTTTAGCTAATTAGGGTTCATCAGTCTTTGTTAGAAGGGTTCATCGCTCTAACCTATGTCGACTTTGTTTTTTTTTTACGTCATGGGATTGTAATGCACGCCGTTCTTAACTTCCCACCAAAATACTCGATGTTTTCGTGTTCAAAAAACGACGGCATCGGCTGCCTAGACAACAAACAAGACGACGAAATGTTAAAACCACACCGATAAAATCTTTTTAAAAAACAACGGACCATCACGAATATCTAGACATCGAATTTATCCTTTTATATAATAATGAAATACTAAAGCAGCTTTGTAATTATTGCTTATGAAAAATATGCTTAAAGAACATTAGGTTATGAAATAACGTAATGCTATGTCACCATTAAACACATAACAACGAAAAAATATTATGGGAATATGCTAGAAAATAAACAAATTAGCCACGAATCTTAAATACAATTATGCAGATTTACATTCAGTTAGAAGCATATATTGACAGGAAACTTATCCCTAAAAAACACATAGATACTTACGTTAAAATTAGATTTAACAATAGAAATCCGGATTAGACTTAACAATAGAAATTCGGCGCATAGCGCCGGCGCTCCCCTAGTAATCACTAAACAAGTGCGTGGTATGGCATTTTTGAAGTACTTGTTTTAGTAATTACTATATTCCAATGCATGTTATATCCTCGCTTATCATGTTAAGAATACGCGTAAATTGATTTAATAATTTCTAAAAAAGATACCTGTAAGATTAGATAACCATAGACCCGGTAATAAAGTATGAAGATGGGAAGAATAAAGAACATGCAGTATTGGGATCGACCTCTATAAATATATTTTATTCCATACACATTAACTTGTTGATATATATAAATGTATACACACTTATTAAATTAAATGTGCATGTGTCAACACGTAGATGACATAGATGGGAAGTATAAGTCATTACGTTACTAATTAGCAGGATTAAGTATGAAGAAAATAGACTAGTAATATTCATTTCTGTTATTATTAATTCTGTACTCGGAGTTATGTGTAAATGTTCAAGAACATAAAAAAGGACTATATTAATAAATCATTAAAAGCAGATGTACTATTTATCTCAATTACTTGAGTTCTATTCCAACGGTTACATTTCCGATAAAAATAAAATTTTGATCAAAATTAAAAGGTACACTTTTATTTGACAGACCTTTTACTGACTGTGATAAATTATTGTTTTTATCACATGAAACCCACTGTAATATTTATATTTCAGCTTAGTTCAAGTTCAACAATTAATTCAAAAAAGGTTAGAGATTATGCTTATATACTAGATACACATTAACTCATTTATTTTAAAATTTACACATTGAAATTAATAATATTAATATATCTATTCACAGAGATAAATGATGAAATAAATGTTATCTCAACGGAATCAGATAAAACATCTCTATTGTACAAAGTTAAATAATATTTGTACCTAGATTAGCATCCCCTTGTTACTTGACTTCATCAAGATATATGTCATAACTTTGAAATTTGAATATGAGTTTTAAAATAGTTACTTTTTGAAAAATAATTATTGAAATATTTACTTATCAAAAAAGAGATTTAAAATAATTGAGTTAAAATACGAGCGTGCATGGTTTCCAACTCCAAATACTAATTATCTAATTTAGCTAAATTAATGCATTAATATGCGATTCTCTCATGCATTTGTAGATAAGAAGATGACAGAAATAATAAGCTTTAATTGAAAGAATTGTCTTATATGTGAAATGATCTGCAAATTTCCATTGTCTCTATCAGTCTCACGTCCCTCTCTTGCTCTCTCATTTTCGCTTGTATATTATGCAAATAAAAAGAGGAATTTTTAAATTATTATTATAAATACACAAAAAATTCCACCACTTACAAAAATGTCTGTTTGCCTGTGGAATAAAAACAAAAAAAGATTGTCTGATGGTCTAAAAAAGATCTAAATTTCAATTGGTCTTTTGAATATTTTCATATCTCTTCTAATCATTTCTAATCGTTTCCACTTTTCCAATATATAAAAGCTCCTTCCTGCCTCTTTAATGGCGAGAGGACCCATCTCCAGGAATTAACAGTAACCCTCATTTATTATCTTTACAATTTTTCTTTAAGATAAAGAAAAAAGATCCTCTTTCATTAGATTGGTAGATGAAGAGACAAGGGTCGCTTTAATTTTCGCCAAAGATCTTCAAAAACCCAACCTTCAATCATGTTGTGCACTTTTTCTGTTCTGTAAGAAGAAACAAAAATTGCGGTTTTTAAACTCTAAATAAAAGTTTATCACAAAGCTCTCAGTGCTTGATTGGCTCCACTGTCTCTGTAAAGAAAAAGTTTGCAATTTTTTCTGTCCCATTTCAACCTCAATGCTCAGTGGTAAGCAAATCTCTGATATATACTTGTAAAGATTACATTATTAGAGTAAAGTAAGTTCTTTTTAATGATGAAACTGAAAATCTCAGTTTAGGGTTTTTAGGGTAAGGAATGAAAAGGAAACCCAGGAAGTAAAATTGACACAGTTCTGTTACAAAAATAAGCAAAATTTCGGACATAATTAGAAAATCCTCTGTTTTTCTTTTTGTTTCTTGCTTAAAGATGAGAGCTATGTTGTTGTTTTTCCAGGTTTTTGAGAATCGGTTTTGTACTGATTGAGGACAGAGTTTTGTGGATGATTTTGTGACTTCTTTGATCATCAATGGAGAGAAGGAGATCACCAAGAAGCAGCAAGAGTCCTGGAACTGCAATTTTTCCTAAAAGCCCTCTTGTCTACGAGAGTTATAAGTCTGGTTGTGGTTGGAAACTGATTAACTTCTTCGACTTCAGACATGTCAAATCTGGTAATAAGAGACTGAGTTCAGAGAAAAAAATCATCAGAGACTCTGCTGGTTAGTAGTACTCTTAGTGCTTTCTTTGGATCACTTCATGATCTTAGTTTTTAATTTTGTTTCTTGTTTTGTTGCAGGTAATGTTTATACTAAAAGTCAGCTTGATTTGCTCAAGAAACTTCATGAGAAATGTCAGTGTCCTGATGTAAGTTTCTTAAACTGTTAGCTTTTGAGTTAGCTTTTAGAATTTCGAAGGAGAAAACTGAATCTTCGGATTTGTGCAGAGGAGTGTGGAAGGAGAGAACTCATGTAAGCCTAAAACGAGGAGAAGATCTTTTAGTTCTGAAAGAGAAGATGAGAGCTATGAACCAAAACCTGTCCATGGATTACTAGAGAGAGAGGTAAAGAGGATCAAGAATCTAAGAGAAGATAAGCAAAAGCAACTTTCTTTGAGTGAAATTGACAAGACAAATGATAAGGATAAGCAAATGGATCTGAAGAATGGGAGAGAGGGTAAGAAGACCTCAGAGATTAACCTTCAAGTTTGTGTGAATGAAACTGCTGAAACTTTGATCTGTTCCAAGGCAGAGGAGAAAGGAAAAGACCGGTCTAAGCAGTTCATGGAAGCATTAGATATTCTAAGTTCGAACAAAGAGTTGTTCATTACACTCTTACAAGATCCTAATTCATTCTCAGTCAAAAAAGGTCAAGACTTAGAGAGACCTAAGGTGAAGGAACGGCTTGATAGACCTCCTTCAGTGGCTAATGATTTGGATGATATTGTTCTCTTGAAGCCTAGATTATCAGGCTCGGTTGATGATAGAAAGTACCTGAGATTCAAACATCTAGCCAAGAAGTTGAAGCTTGTTGTTGGATCTAACAAAGACTGCAACCATGAAGAAACTAAAGAGGCTGCCGCTTTCAGAACAGGTGATGTTTCTACAAGTGCAGTTGGCTATAGAAGCCCGGAGTCACCTGCGTTTAGGCGCAAGAAACGAGTTGTATCTGATGTCTTCAAGCTAAGTATGGAAAACGATGTTTTGCCAAGGAGGTTCACAGTGGAAAGGCAACAGGAGAGATCAGATTCATCACCGGTTTACGAAGTTCCTAAATCATTGAATAGCTTGCAGACGAAACTCAAAGAGAGAAGACAGAGGTTGGAGAAGAAACGAGAGAGCTTCAAGTTGTGGTCCTTGGACAATGACTTGGAGGTTTTTGATCCAAATAGGTCTCTCAACGACAATAGTACAGGTTCTGCTGACTACACAAGTCTGAGAACTCCTGCAGTAGACGGTATTGAGGAAGATAGATATCTAGAGAGCACATCAGCTGTAAGTTCTGAGAGAAACAATATATGTCTCTACACGGATTTGATGTTTAATCTGCATTAAATTGTTGCAGGAGTCGAGTTCAAGTATAGAAAGACGAGGCAGAAACATTCATGACCTGAACCAGGAGCAGGAGCAACCAAGTCCTGTCTCAGTTCTAGAGAGGAGGATTCATATGTTAGACGAAACAGTTAGCTCCAGAAACAGTTAGTCTCTGTCTCTGATTAATCAATGATTTCAATCTTTTAATCACTTAGTCTCACTATCTCTTACTTTCATACAGAAGAGCAGATTGGATTGTTATCTTTTGATCTTCTCAACAAAGACTCTGTTCATGAGTTTGTGAAGCAACATCTTCAAGCTTCAAGACTGAACTGGACAAATCTCATGGCCAGATGCAACGAGGAAACATCACTACTAGACGAGTTCTCACACGGTAGTCACAACAACGACCAGCTTCTTCTTGTTCTTGACTATACAGATGAGATTCTCCGTGAGATATACCGTAAAGACATCAAGTTTTGGCCTTTCAAGCCATCGGAGAGGTCGAGAGTTGTCAATCTACCATCTTCCATTAGAGAAGAAGATCTGATTCACGAGACTATGAGACGTTTTGACTGGAGTTTACTCTGCTGTGACACTCCAAGAACATTGGATCAGGTCATTAAAACTGATGTGATGAAGCCATGTCTTTGGTTGGATTGTGGTGGTGAATCTGAAGGTGTTGTCTCTGATGTAGTTGAAAACATTATGCAAGGGTTGGTGCTTGAGATCTCTCATGAGCTTAACAATGCAGATTAGGGATATGGATTAAAATGAATCTCAGTGGACTATTCAACATTTTTTTTGCTATGTATATAAATCAGTTTAAGAATCTTTTAATTAGTTTTCTATAGGGCTGCGGCTTCCTTTAGATTGTTTTAGTTCAGTTTTCATAAAATTATACCAAACTAAAGTGAACAAGTTTTTGATTTTGGTTTTCGGTTAAGGTAGTGCCAAAATTTTTTAAAGTAAATCAACCTTCTTGTTTTTTTTTATTTAATTTAATTAAAAATTTTAATTAAATTATGCCATTTCCGTTAAATTCAGTTAGTTTAGTTTTTTGGTTCAAAATCCTGGCCATATATAGTCAGCATACCTATATAGTGTCAACTATATATCTATGCTATAATTAGCCAACTATATTGTGTTGTCTTTAGGTTGGTTTGGCTTTTAAAGCACTTCCAATGGGGTTCTTACGGTGAAATTTTTATATTTTGCTAAGAACCCCGCCATAAAAAAAAATTATTGGGTATGGTCTTAATTTGTTTGGCTATATAGATAATCATTTTTCGTTAAAACCTATTTTATTATTTAAGATTGAGGAGATTTGCATAATTATATGAGAATAAAATAAAAAGGTACTATGAAAAGATTGAGCAAATCTTACTAAAAAAACTGCAGCTTACATAAAATAACCAACAAAACAAAAGATCCTATGAAAAAATCAAGTGTATCTAACTAAGAAATTTAGAGTTACATTGTGTCCAAAAAAAATTCATAATTTTATCTTTAACTCTTGTATCTCTTCTTTCTCTACCGAAAAATTCGGTCATGCCTGATGTTCCCTTGCACCGTTATCAAATCTTTACAGGTCATCCCATATATTGCTGACATGTCGAATGATACAACATGCTTTCTATTGTCCAGCGTAGCGCTTTTAACTCTGTATGCAATGTTGATTCTCTTCGAATTTGATTTCTTATTCCTATAAGTTGTGCATGATCCGTGTTATCTAGCCACATCGATAAACACCCACAAAAGATCGATGTAGAGGTCCAAGAACCATCTACCAAACATATATTCTTTAAGTGTATGGCTTGAGATGTTGCTATTGGTGTTTAGATTAAATCAGTAGTTGGAATATTTACCGTGAACCAAGCTTGGCATTTTCCTTCTGCATATCTTATTAGTTCAAGCGGATTTCTATCAATTCCTCTAAGTAGTTTATCATTTCTTATTTTTCTAAGATACCAAATTATCCATGGATAAGGGTATATGTCCATTTCCAAATACTCAATATTATTAATCCATATTTTTGTATATACTGGACACTGGGAAAATATTCAGATGAGACGATGTAGCTGCTAGAGCCCACGCTAAAAGCGTTGGAGGACATTCGAAGATCTCATGAGTTACAGACTCATCAGGTTCCCCATATCTCTCGGATGAATGTTATCACACCCCATATGATGGCGAAAAATTCCTTTTGAAAAATTGCATGTCTTGTGATTAATTGTCGTAGTTGATGACAATTTTTTTGAGAAGCATTTAACTTCCAAGCTAAGGCTGGGAGTTTCATGAGGTTTGGTTCTGTGTAAGCAATATCTTCTTAAGATTGAGTATATGTCTTGCTACCAGTATCTTGACTTAACAGTATATATACCATTCTTGGTAAAGCTCCAACAATAAGTTATTCTGATGAAAAAAATCCTTTTATTGCCAAAATTTTTAATCAAAGGAATATCTTCTTGTGCTACAAATTTGTCAAACACTGCAACATCCCATTCCTTTAAGTCTTGGTTAATAAAATCACTAATTGTCACCATGGGATGGCTATCGGGAAATTTGGCTTATCCAGCCATGCATGTGAAGTCGGAATCCATGGATCTTCCCATGCTTTTACATCAAAACATGAATGGATCTTTGGCTGAATCCCCAAGAACAAAAGATGTCTCGTTGCAGATAAGCTAATCCATATGTATGAAGAGGTATCTATAGCACCAACTCACAACGGTGAACTTAGTCTATGTACTTACCACGCAAAACCCGGACGACGAGAGAGTTTGAAACTGTACTAATCGCCATAACTATTTCACTAACAATGCTAAACTCATGGACCATCTTGAAGCCAATTCATCACTCCCCCCTTGATAAATATAGCTTTTTTTCCTTTTTGCCCAATAGATTTCTCAAATTTGGAGGGCTACATTGGCACTTTCTAGATTTTCTAAGATCTCTAAAAGGAGTTAAAAACTCGAGGGCTAGTAAAATCGACTTAATTAGCACTTCTTTTTCTTCTTTTGATATACATCTCTAGGCATGGGCGTTCGGGTATTTGTTTGGGTTCGGTCGGATATATCGGATATCAGTTCTTTTTTGTAGCACCTTCTAGGTCCCATTTTAAGAAATTCTTAAATTTGGATCGGAATCGGATATAACACATCGGTTTTGGTTTGGTTCGGATTATACTAAAGTTACCGCATATCATTTGTGTTCGGGTTTTAGTGTATCGGTTTCTGATTAACTGAAATAAAATTCAAAGAAAATAAATAAAATAAGATACTTAACTTAAATTTACATAATTGTTGAGATTTGATTTATTGATACTAGTTTTTATGACGCCAACAAAGTAGAACAAGATCTGAAAATTTATAAATATGTAGAAATTACTGAAATTGTCAAGTCTTCTATGTTATTAAATGATAACATTACATAACTGTTTACAAATTGATCACAGTGATAAGTGAAATATGAAAATGCACATAATATATAATTGTAGCAACACAAACTTTGTTAAGTAAGATGAACTGATAAGAACTAAGAAACATGTCTCTCAAACTTTGGCAATAACAAAAAATGTCCTGGAAATTGTCTACTTCGTGTAATACATGTATATACTTATCTACATAATACATACACTTCGGTTATTTTGGATTCTAATTCGGGTTTCGGACTAAACTGAACCCATACCCGATATCCAAAGTATCAGCATATCAAAACCGATCGAGTATTTTGATGGATCCATAATCGATCGAGTTCGGGTTCGGGTTCGGTTCTGGATTATGGATAATATTCCCAAGCCTAAACATCTCCATGTCCAGCCATTAACTATATTTTGTAATGTCTTTAAGAAAGACAAACACCTTGCTAAATTGTATATAGCTAACCCTTGTAGCTAGCTATATTGTAGTTGATCTTAATCTATATATCCAGCTTTATAGTTAAAGTTTATAGACAGTTAGTTATGTGGTAAATTTGATCTAGTTGGCGAGTTAACCATATATTTTTTTGGTTTAAACTAACTAGATTGTGTTTGAGGCTTGGCTATATAGTTATATGGCCAACCATATATCCTCTAGTATAATGAACTATATAGTTGGCCAACATAAACTTAGAGAAACGTAGTGAACTATAATGTATTTAAGCTTGGCTATATAGTCATAGCTTATACTACTTATTTTACAAGCAAAATGTCTATTTTCAATATATGATTTTATTTAATATATATATATATATATATATATATATATATATAAAGAAGTTATAAATGAATGCTTTAAAACAATATAAATTATTTTAAATCAACACAGTATATTTGACTTCCCCTTATAACATGCATTAAAACGTTAAAAAACATGTGAATAAATATTTACAGTTTGTATTAAAAAATATATTCCTTACATATTTAAACATTAATTATATTTGAGATCCTAAAATACATTTCAGTTTCTATTAAAAGTATTTTTTAATATAATAATATTTTATTTAAATTTAAATATAGATATAAGATATATAAAGGCAATTCTCTCAAATAGCATATTTTAGGTTTTTGTAACCAAAAGAGTCAACAGAGAGGAAAATGATCAAAATAAGTTGAAAAATGGTTAGAAATACCATAAAATAAGTACTACTTTTCAAAAATACCACCAATCAAAATATATAATAACATTTAGATTTCGTTTTTAGTGATTATTGTTTATGGTTTAGTATTAATTAAGGAGTTGCGGTTGGGTTTATAAATGTTCTATAAATATTAAAAAAAAAAAAATTAGTGCTATTTTATCACAAATTCAGGGTATTTGTGAAAATAGTCATTTAATAATGGTAAATTTGAAACGTGGTACCAAACTTGTGGTAAAATTAAATTTCTCTAAATAGATTTCATTAAAGAGGCAAAAAAATCTACTAGCAATTGCTTTGTAGATATATAAATATAAATAATTGGTTTCGAGTTTTACATTTTCAAATTCTGACTTTTTGATAAAAAGAAAATTTCGACATTTTTTTCAATTTGTTTTCTTTTCCCAAATTTTCTTTTGAATATCAAAAATATTTTTGAAACTATTTTTCAATTTTATATTTCTTAATATTTTTTTTTAATTTAAACCTCACCTCCAAATCCTATCGCTTAACTCGTATAGTGTAAATTTTTTTTTGGTTCATTCTCTTTTTTAGAGGTTCTTGTGGAGAACATAAACTAAAATGGACTATCTTAGAAATTTTCTTTGTATATAAACAAGCCACTGTAGAAACAAAAGAGAGTTTTCTGACTCACCCTCTCCGACGTCTATCAATTCTCGTCGGCATTAATAGAGGGTAAGAACTAAGAATATATTTGTGTCGTTGAACCTTTAAGCCATATGATACCCTCAAAAAGGATTGATTAACTATATGGGTTAAATCGTCCTTCCATGTATCCCAAAATTTCTAATAGAATAGAATTGTTGTTATAATTTTATTCATGTGTATTTAAGTTTATATATATATATATATTGTATAGTCGGATTTTATATCATAACTATAGTCGGATTTATGTATATCATATAGGCATGTTTGTACAATGTTAAATCATAAATGTTATAGTCGGATTTATACACATGTTTAGGTATGAACTTCCAGATGTATTGGCCATAGTCTATCCTTCCTTGCTCGCTAATCAGTCTTCAATAATATTTATGGTGCCCCACAAACGTATATAACAGTCCTCTTAGATTGAAACATGGATGGTGGTACACCCCTCCAGCATGTTATTATAGACTAAAGTTAGATACATAAATGCTATAATCGAACGTAACATGCTATAGTTTTTTATATGCATGTTACAGTCGGGTTTATACATTTTTTTTTTTTGAAAGAAAGGGTTTATACATATTAGTCACTGAATTTACACAAATTAGTTGGTTTAGTTACTATATAACCATAATTATAGACACTGGTTGGTTTTTTTTGGGTTGAATTCATACGTTACCAAAAATACCATGCGTGATAGGTCCATAATGTTCTCGATCTACTGATTTACGCAAACCTCAACTTCACCAATTGATGGTTCATGTTAAAGGCCACCTACCATGCCAACCAATCTCATTAAGATATTGAAAATCTATTATGATCTTTTCCTAAATCAAGAAATTGTTCAACCAAATATATATAGTAAGAACAAATCTGTAGTTAGGATTATATAGTAAGAACAAATATACACATATATTGTTAGGATTAACTAATCTATATTTATGGTTTAGATATGAGGGATATGAAATTTAGGGTGGTGTTTAGGATTTAAAAAGTAAAGAATTAATATTGAAACTTAAAAAAAAAATTTAAAAATAGTTTCGAACAAAAATTTTGGATTTTAATATAAAAATACAAAACCAATATTTGAATTTAAAAATGTGTTATTCGAACACAATAATAAAATGTATTCTTTATTGTTATTTAAATAATTATTTATATTTATATATCTATAAAATAAGGATCGAATAACTTCTTTCATAAAATATATTTTGGTCATTTTTCTACTTGTGTTTTTAACTTTTTGGTGGAATAAACTTGTCTTTTGATAGAATTGTTCATGAACTAATTCCTCAATGTGTTGCTTGAATACAGTTACCCTCTTACTAAAACGATAGAGATTTATTTTGATGCTACCATACGGAATCCAAATAGTATACAGTCCAACTCCTCGTGCTTAGATCTTCTTCCTTCTTTTTATGACAAAAGTAATTGTTAAAATGGGTAAAGCATGTACAATTTCTCAGTGGCGTTAGCTGCAATTATTTGAAATGACATTACTTCTTTTTACTAAGGTATTGTATTTTGTGACCAAAACACTTTTCTAGCAGCTTTTGACCAACCAATCTTATCTTTATACTTTCTAAATATATTCTAAAACTTAATTTTCCTAAATTTAACAGAAGAATATCGAGATCGAACTATCTTCCATCTATTTAGTTTTTGCTTGGTAGTACTTTATAGTAGGCACGAAAGATGCATTTGTTACTTTTACTTCTGTTTTCTTTTGAAAACGTTACTTATCTTCAAGAATGGATACTGCACTAACTAGGTCGAGTGTTTCATTTCACATCATCTAATATCATTGTATGTCAATTAAGGAACTCACATTAGTCTCTACGACTACATTATGAACCAAAAGAAATTCGATTTTACAAGAATTTTAAAGGATCTTCCAAAATTTCAAAATCTCATAAAATCTGGTTTGAATTACTGAGTACCAAAGATTAGAAAATGAAACCGGAACTACAGCTAATTATATCAATCTGAACCATGAGACCTTTAACATATCCATGCAACTTGTTGAAGTGCCTTCTGGATCATTCCTGTTGTGGCTCTTTTTGTCCCTTTATGCTGCAAGTCACATTGAGCGATATGTATCAATTTCGGTTTACACATATTCCGATCATGTGACATATATTTAGCTTTAGCTTGTGTTAGTGGCTGTACCTTGCAATTGACGGTTAAACACAGTAAACCATCCCCGGTTGAGGACTGTACCGAGTGAGAATCCAAATTGAGATCACTAATAACATCCATTATCTCAAGCAATATCCCTTCTCTCCAAGCACATCTAAGCTCAATAACCACCTCATTGCCAAACGAACCGATTCTCAAATTATCAGTGAGACCAGCAGGTTCATCTTCTCCTATATTCGCATCACTTTCCTTCCTCTTGATGTTCAAACAATTCGCCGAGGCTCTTTCATCTTCATCCTCAGGTCTCTTCCTCTTCATAGCCGTTCGCATTTCTGTACCGGTAGACTCTTTGCAAGATTCTAATTCTTGAACCCGTCTTTGCAGTTCTTGAAGATACTCAATCGTATCATCAAGAATCGACACCTTATCAATCTGAAGAATCCACAAGAGATAAGATTACATAATAATTTTTAACATGCACATGCAAACGCTTAGCTCCATAATCACATTAGATTAGTTTGTTTTAATCTCACCAAGGCGGGTCCTTAACTTTAAGCTACAAATAATTTAGTAAATATTTTACGAACCTATGTTTATGTATATTATCTCTTAAAATTTTGAAAATCCTAAATGAATGTTTCACTTGCCTATGGATCAACCGCTAGTAGTAAATGCAACATGCTATTGAAGCAAAAGTGTTGGATTAGGTTACCTTACTAATTGAAGGAATCATTGATCTCAACGTCATGAAGCGATCGTTCAGTTTCTCACGGCGTTTCCTCTCAGACAAGGCGTGGTTTGCGGTTTCATCCCCAACCTTAAACCCGCTATCTACGGGTGTGTCTGGTAACAACAAATCCTTCTGGTGCATCCTAGGAACCTCAAAAACAATCTTCTTTAATATATTTTGTGAATTCTCTCCCAACGTTTTTGCAGATGATGACCGCCTCCACCGCGTGAAACTTGACCGCTTATCGAAGTTCTGAAACTGCGGTCCGAGGATGAGCTGATGCGTTGTTTTGAAAATCGTCGAGATCACGCCTTGGTAATGAACATCATCGTCCATATTTGCACGGTTGCTCTGTTCTTGGATCTGACCTAACTGTTGATTCCTACTCTTTCTTGGACCGCAAGAAACTCTCCCGGTTGTTCCAGCAAACGCATGAGAAACGCAATCGCTAGAATTAAGCGATTGGTGAACATAGTCACTGAGTTCTTCACCCATAAACTGCCAGCTTTGAACCTGAGATGCACCACCACCGTTGATGAACGAATCATGATCCTCTGGTTCTTGCTCATACACGCTTGTAGAAGTTGTTGGAAAAGCTTCAGTTCCAAACACTGGAATGTATTTATCGTGGCTTGAAGGATCGAAAATTTCTTGATAATCGGATCTCGTTGATAAAGTTCCATGAGGAGCTTCAAGGAATAGTGTTTTCACGCATTGTATCACGTTTAAGTTCTCTGCAACCTAAAATAATTCAACCCCCAAAAAAAAAAACAATAAATTAGCCCTTTTAACTTTCATTCTTCACTATTAGACGCTGGAAAATGTACAGCTTTATGACAATATTGATAGACATGTCGGAGAATTTAAACCTTTTGTCTGATGGGGCTTTTTTCTGTACTAGTATTTCTAGTTATCTAATCAGTGTAAATTATAAATATGTTGTTTAATGTACTTGCTAGAAATACTTTTACCTTTTGTGATAATTTTTGATAGAGAAAAACTAATAGGATTATGTATCTGCATGTTGATTGGTTTGATCTCCTATGCGTCGAAACGGCTGAGTTATTAGGATAAATATAAAAACGATTGGCTTACATGTTCGGTCGTGCCGATCTCAAGAACTCCTCCAAGAAATGGGAAGCAAACCACTGTTAGAAGCGAAGCACTCTTAAAAGAGCAAAAGCGCCAAAGGAAAAAAAAATGTTTTAGTTATAGCGTTTATCGTATCCAAACTCCAAAAAATATTCAATAACTTACTTTAGCGAGAAGAGAGCGAGTGAAGACTTTGCTATCAGCGGTATGAGCGTGACAAAGCCATATTGGTTGCCCGTTCGCCAACACTCCTCCGGGAATTCTACAATAATTAAAGAGAAAACTCATTTTATATTTGATGCTTAACGGGAGTACAAAAATGCTTATATACATCATCATTTATAACTCATATTGAGGTTGAAACTTTGCAAACACACAAACAAAAATCATTGCATTGTTTTCTTAAAAACATAAAACATTGCGGTTGTAACAATCAAACTCGTCAATGTCGGAATAAGCTCCCATGAAAGATAGAATTCAAGGAGACATGATAATAAAGGATGTTTGTCTTTTTAATAGACAAAATCAAAATACAATCTATTCTAATATATATGCATGCAATCAGTTAGAGATTCTTAACACGAATCTGTAAGCAAGTTTGATAATCTATCTACACAAAATACATTGATTTTTGAAAATTTGCAACAGTATACATTTTCCTTTCAGATTCTTTTGACATCGAAAGGCATTTTCCCTTTCAGTTTTCTAGGTCGAAATATAGTTAGTACATGTTTTTAATCAAAAAATGGAAAAAAAATGTTTGAAATAGTTTTTTTTTTTTTTAAATGGTTTGATTAGTGATGGAATAGAAGGAAAAAGACGGAATTACCCTTCACCAATGTTGAAGACGAAAGACATGCATACTAAGTAATACCACTCAGTGTCGGTGAGATCTTCCGGAGAAAGAGAGGAGGCGGAAGCTCGTCTAGTGACCTGAGAACCACCAGAGGTTGAAGATTCCGCGAGGGAGAGAGATTCGTAAAGCTCTCTAAGCTGCTCACTTCTCTCAAGACCCAACTGGTCAGCTTTGACTTCCGATGCTTGAATCGTCTTCCTCGTTTTAATGTCTCCATTGTAGTATCCATCTCCCCATTCCAACAATCTTTTTTTAAACCCAAAACAAACAGAAATTTTTTCAAATGAGCCCCAACGTTTCGTTCCAGTTTTGGATTCATACCAACAATGTCTCAAGATTATGGAGAGAGCCAAGAAAACTTTAACTTGAGAGAAAAAAAAAAAGATAAAGATTAAGAGATGTACCCTGGTTGAGAAGCAGAGACCGACCAAAAGATTCCGTAACTCCATTGAATGTTTCGAACTGAAACTGCGAGATGCTTCTTTAGATTTTCCGGCACCATTCTTTTTTCTACGGCAGCCATTGTTCATTCATCTCTATAGTCAACACAAGAAAAAAAGTAAAACACAGAAAGAAAAAAGCAGAATGAATTTTCAGGTTATGACTTATGAGTTAGTGATTTTTACATGGCGCTGCTTTCGATTTGGGGAAGGACGAAGACAACAAAACACATAACATTTTATTTTGAACCTTCTTATATATGGTAGAAAGAAATATTAAGAATAATTAAATAGTATTTGTTCTTTTTAAAGTTGTTACCATTGTTGTGATTGAATTGGAGGTTTGAGTCGAAAGAAAAGGACGGTCTCCGAATCTCTGTATGGATACTTGGGTTGGGTGAATGTACACCGTATATTATCACAGAATACAGAAACTTACGAGGATTTGTTTTGAAAATCATTTTTAAAATGATGAGTGTTACAAAAAAAAAAAGCAGTGTGTACCTACCGTTAGGTTGAATATTGTGCTCCAAGCACGACCATCTTTTTGGAATTTCTTGTTTAAAGTAATTAAGCATATTTTTATCTTGTACTACTTCCTCCAATTTAAAATGATGTATATTTAAAAAAATTCACATATATCAACAAAACTATTAAACTTTGATTATAAATGTATTATTTTGTGATTAGCTATTTCCCATAACTTTAAGCCAATCAAATTCAATTAAAGATAATTTACTTTCAACATTTACAATTAATTATTATTACCTAATAAAAATATACTGAAAATATAAATAATGTATCTTTTTGAAATATTTTTTTTATAAAACATATATCATTTATAAACGGAGGGAGTATTATTTATCAAATGATAAATCAAAAATTAAGTAGAAAGAAACTTACGATATAGCTATATTTCTACACAAAACATGAACATGTTTACTCTCGCTCAATCAATTTCTAATCAATTTCTAATGGCGAAACACGAAGAAGGACACGAAATTAATGTTATGCCTCGAGGAGTTCCCGGGAAACAGACAAACAGGCTTGCATTTCTTGATTTATTTATGTTCTTCAAGTATTTCTGCATTGTTCTTGAATCTTGAAAAGCATAACGTTTAGTAGGAGTAATAAATATATAATTGGTATTAATTGTCGACCCTTCAGTTTTTCCATATTGCAAACTCATTGTTTTCTGCATTATATACGAGTCACGAACAGTAGATTTTTTCGGCGATCGTTTATTTGCGACTCTGTTCCATGCAAGTCAAACAATAAGGATATGAAGAAACACTGAAGCTTGGATCAAATATAATGGTGGGGATTAATTGGAGTTTGGAAACCAAACAACGTTAAATGACTGTATAATATGAATGAGATTTGACAAAAAAGTATTTTAGATGAGAAATTTAATACACCATAGAAGAAACTTCTATCAACAGTTATTTTATTACCCTATGATAAATGTATTTGATAAAATCTTCGCATTTTCCCATATTTATCACCACTAACTAGGACTACTTCTTGTCGTGTCTGAACGTTGAAAAAAAGCAGTATGACTGTTTATTTTATCTGTTTCTTGTATAATTACACAGCCAAATATTTATATCGTTTCATTTAAAAACTAGCATGTATTTGAATTAACATTAAAATACATAACCAAACCAATAATAGTATGTTGGAGGTTCTCAGACTAATGTCAGACTTGACAGTCACATTTAAGCGCATGATAACACTGATTTAGATGTACAGGAAATAATGATGCATGGTTTATGTGTTCTTACTTATGTTTTCAGTAATTTCCAAAATAGTTGATCTTTTGTAGTTTTGTATGAATCTATATATATATAATCAAGTGTTATTTGTTAGGGCTGACCATTTTCCGCTTAATCTGATTCAATTCGTTATTAGTTTTAATTTAATCTAAAAATCTAGATATCTGTAAATTTTGAAAATAAATCAAATATTAAAATAATATCTGTTAAAACCAAAAAATTACAACGTCTATTAAAAAGTTTACAAGTAGAAATCCGATCTACTTTGACTTTTGTATAGATACATGTATATCTACAAATATATATATATATATATATATATATTATAAAACTTCTGATCTATCACGAATAAGTATCGTATCAATCTGTATCAACTATAATTTCTAAGATTTTGTGTTTATAAGAAAATAATTATTTTTAAAATTATGGAACATATACCTCATTAATTTTTATTTTGTATTTTATATTATGAGATATATTTTTGAAAACAACTTGTATGATTTTTCTAAATTTACTTGTACTGAAAAAAATATATGAAATATTTGTAAATATTTATAAATTTACTGGATATCCAGAAAATTTGATATCTGTATTTTTCGAAACAAAACAAGAACTACAAAAAATATCACAAATGCTAGAAATTAGGGTAATATTGGATCCGTACCCATATTTGTGTACATTGTGGTCGTCGTGAACACACCCAAACATTAGCTTGAAGTTTCTGCTTTTTTAATGTCTAATTAAGTATGCTAATATAATGTTGAGAAATATTATATAGACAATTTTACAGCCGACAATTTTATCATTATATGAGAATATACGTCTGACTGTATTACTCCAAACCGTCATATAAGATCTATGTTCAATGATACGCTCAGTACCATGTTAAAGATCTCTTGTAACTATTTTTTTCCATAATCTTCATAATTTGTTTTTTATTTTATTTTGAACCCTAGGCGTAGAAGAATTAATGAACTCATGACCAAGCCAGCTAACCATAATCAGTGAAGATAACCGATTCTTTTCCTGTGTTACAAAAAAAAAAGAAAAAACCGATTCTTTTCCTTTGTTATAACAAGGCGCCATAAAAGCTTTTTGTCAAAAATAAGAACAAGGCGCCGATATGGAGATAAATAAAATATGTGAAGATAAATAAATGGGTTCACACATTGGATACAAAAAAATGTGAAGATAAAATAAAATAAAATAAATATTAAAATGAAAGAGATGCTCGCATTAATTGTCTGAGACAGAGTCTACTGCTGATTTAAAAACAGTGATCGAACAGTCCATTTTTGGTGGTCCACTTTATTAATTTTAGCATTAATAACATTGTCAGCACCAGCCACTCTCTATGATTTTATCATAAGTCATAATAAACCAACCAATATCAAACTTAATTACTCTAGCCCTTAAGCTTAGCTTGTATAATGTGACAACACCTGTATTCCGTTTTCTTAGTACTTAACAGAATCAATTGAGTGATCGAAGTCACCTAGATTGGTTGAAGGAGTCTACAAAATTAATTTCATCGTTGGTACCTTTCAACGTAAGTATATGCATAATGCACGTTGTCTTGCGTTCCTTCATTGTCTTATAGTCTTTTAATTTAGCTATTACGTACGCAAAAAACATATAACCAGTTGAGTGAACATATATATGTGTTACATGTTTTATGTCAGATGGTGTTCTACACTCAAAACAGTCATGACAACAATCAGTAGTAGCTACAAATATTACTATATGTTTTGTAAAATGATATTTTAGAGAGATCGATATAATAAATTTACATCACTTTCAGGATTTCATCAAAGGCTTTTGTAACCTTGATTGTTTGAATAATGGATTCTTGTTAAAACTACTGTCCACGTGCATGGTACTAAAAAAAAATGAATATATGTATGAATATGATGTGGAGTGTAATTAATTAGAAACCACATTATCTTGCCTTTTTATCACATTAATTAAATATTATAATCGTATTAAGAAATTATTTTAATCCACCACTCTTTTGCACGATCTATGGATGATGATAGTGGCGCCACGCATGAACATGGCAAATATAGGAATATGCACATGGCAATTTATATTATATACGTACGTAAACCATACATTAGAGCTTGTAAGTACTTGTCCGAATTTGGTTTTATATAACTCTTATAGCTCCAACGGATCCAATGATCTTTCGTACTCCTTTGACCTGAGTTTATGATTAGGCCCCGGATTTTTCTAAACTTGTAAATCACTAACGAAAAAGTAACCTGAGTTTATAATTTTACGTATATGGATTAGGCCCTAATTGCCATCAGCTTTGGAGTCAAATGCCTACAATTTCTCACAATTTTATGAACTAAACACAATTTGATGTTTGTTTCAACTTTTAAGAAGAGAAAGAAAACCACAATATGTTTTTCAACCTAAGTTTGACAGGATTTTTAAGGCAAGACGCTCGGAAATAGTTTTTTTTCCCCGTACGTAGTACCGTTTAGTTTGGACAAACTCAGGATTCAGTTCAGACCTCGTACTCTAGTTCACTCCACACACATCGCCGATACAAACATTTTAAACATGTCATTGGCCCTAAGCTAAAACAGAAAAGATGCATGCATATATATATAGGGAAGATGTCAAGCTGAGAGAACTTCGGCCTCAATACTCTGGCTTCGAATCCCCACAGCTGCAAACATTTGCCCGGGCCACGAGGGTATTCACATGGGCTGCTCTCGCCCTCCAGACCACTTCGCGTAATCAGGGACCCTTAAGTGGAGGCTTAAAAATCCTGTAATGGCATGGACTTAGGCCCGGTGGGTTAGTCGATCACGCTTAGTGGTCGGATACTCGATTATCAAAAAAAAAAAATATATATATATAGGGAAGATTATAAAGGGAAACATAAAAGGAAAAATATGTAATGGACTTCTTTTTTGCATATATGTTGCCCTACTCTCCCGCTTTTGTGGTTTATGCCACGGACCGGGCCTAACTCCACATCGATATTATTGTGGCATTGAATGTTAAGCTACATAGTATTTTAAATATACAAATCATGTTTGTTTTTCTTCTTCTAAAAAATTCTCTCTGTAAAACTAACTAAAATTTCGAACTACGTACAACACTTATTTATAATTTTTATATGAATTTACCTTGAAATAGGATATTTTAAAGTATATCATTTTGTTTGATATAAAGTATACATGTTATCTACTCTAACGTAGGTTTTAAGTTTTTGTTTTTCCATGGTTATGGTTGTTTTCATATTACTACCCCTACTTATCCAAATACGTAAGATTATAAAACTATAATAAATAAGAAAATTAAGAAAACTATAATAAACACGTTGGGCCAAATATTATTGGACCTCCATATGTCCTTTAATCAAACTATTTGGGCCAGATGGATCACATCAGCTGAGACTTCCTCTCCACCACAAACACGTTTGGCATATTGAGGGTTGCTTCTCCTCATCATAGCTCATGCCTCTCTGGTTTGATCGACGCTAATCAGCTTCTTAATATATAACGCACAACAAATGAAGAAAAAAAAAAAATAGAAGATTAGGCATGGAAATATTGGTAACAGGATGAACAAGTTCAAGGACATACGTTTTCAGTAAGTCCGGGCCTTTACTTGGGCCGACAATCAATTGGATATTTTTGTTTCCCAAAGAAATATATCCGACAAACTAAAAAAAAGATTTGGATGGGAAAAAGCGGGAAGTTGAGGAAACCTTATTCTCTAGAATGAAGGTAGGGCCCACTAAAACCATATAAGTACAGTTTAGCGTAAAGCAAAATCAAAACACAAAACTATAATTATTTTAAAATTTTCCACGGAAGAAAACATATTTTCTCTATTTTTCGAAAGTCGAAACCGTAATTAGCATTTTGTGTTCTCTGGAATCTAAAAAAAACAGCGAGAGAGAGAAAAAAAGAAAAAAAAGAAAGGAGGAAGAGTGAGCCAAATCGTGCGACTGAAAATTTTCGAATTTTCTCTTCCGGCGAGGAGATTCTAACGTCCCTATCTCCCTTCCTCGCCGTGAATCTAACCATTTCATTCAGGACCAGTCGCCGTTTTTGCGTTGCCTCGCCCCTCTTAGCTTCTCATGGCGTCGCAGCAGGTTCGTATCGTTCATTCTTTTCTGGATTCATCTCTGTTAGGGGTATTCATTGGATCTCCATGATTGATTCGGTCGGCATTGTTGGTATTTTGATAAGCTGAGATGAAACTTCCGAACTTAAAACCAATTGGTGATAAATAGATTGATCGTAATCCTTATTATTATATATTATTCATGTCTCAATTAAACTTCCGATGCAGGGGAGCTTATATTCTCACAAACTTCATCATTGTTTACAATTTTAATGTTTGTTAGCTGCTTAGGCCTCAAAATAGGAGAACTAGTCTTATCTGAAAATTGAAAGGTTTAAACATGTTAGGCCTTAGTGTGGTCATGTGTGTGATAGGAGGGTTTGGCTTTTGGTTAAAGAGATTATGTTAGAAGGTACACAATTTGTAAAAAAACAGTTTTCATAGATTGATGAAGCAATTAAGCAGATTTATCACGAATTAGGAAGTTTACGTTGTTTTCTTTAGGGTTTTATCACAACTATAATCTCTTGGTTGAAATGAACAGTAATCTCGGACAGGAGGCCAATATGAGTGGAGTTTATGCTCCGTCAGACGGAACCAGTTTTCTGAGTTTCGACTGGTCAGAAAATGGTGCAAGCATCGATGATAGTAAGAAAGGTAAATGGCATCTTGTCATTTTCTTTCTGTTTATCTTGTCGTTTTCCTCAGAGGATTGAAGCAAGGCTTTTGAAGTATCCTCAGAACTTGAGTGTGACATGATTATTCAAATGAGAAGCAAAATAGGGAATAGTTTTACATGATAAATGTTGAATGAGTCGATTTCCCTGGCTTGATAGTGTGTGTCATATTCCAATAGGGTCATGGCAGAGATGAGCCCTTTAAGATCGCCTCTCATATCAGGTCATGTAGGTGGAAACATAAATTGACAATGGCTTCTGTTCTCTCAGGTCATCAGAGTTTGGTGGAGTGGTTAAATCAGACACTTCCTTATTTGAATTTATCATTGGAAGCTTCAGAGGACGAAGTGAGAGCATGCTTGAGGGATGGAACTGTCTTGTGTAACCTTTTGAATCAGCTTAGTCCTGGTTCAATGAGAATGGTACTTACGAATTTTAGTTTTGTTCACCATATGGCTTATATATCTTTTCATTTACTCTTTTTTTTTTTTGGTGGTAAGTTTCTGGCCATGTGTCTTTTTACTCTCTCTTTTACTGCTAGACTCACACTCTTTGGCTTTTCTATAGGGAGGCAGCTTTGAACCTGCTCATGTTAAAATTGAGCGGTTTCTGACTGCTATGGATGAAATGGCCCTGCCCAGGTTTGAGGTTTCAGACATAGAACAGGTTTGTTATGCTTTTATGGATATATCATATAATCTTTTCATTTATGTGGAAAAAATTGATTTCTAGAATATGGAAAATTCTGTTTGTTTATATAGTATTATATCATCACATAGGTAAAGAGATTGTGGGTTCACCACCTTGGGTTTAATAAACTCAAACCAATTCAGTTTAGGTATTTTTTGTTAAAACAAGCCTCGTTTTTGACATCATCCGGCTGCAACACGGTTCTCATCATGGCTATTTTCTGATTTGCTGCTCTTGATAAGATTGCATGTTTTGTTTTTTTGCTCCCATATATCGTCTTCTCTCTGCCATCTCTTGCGTTTCTTTATGGAGTTATGCGTCCTGATAAAAAGTAAAAATGCAGGGGGATATGGTGCCAGTTTTACAGTCCCTTAAGGCGCTTAAAGCAAGTTTTTCCGATGGTGGTAATGATAAAAACTCACTATGTGCGAAGAGGAGATGGAGCTTGCCAGAAGACCATTCAGATTCTAGAGGAGATGATCGCAACGTTACTGATGGATTTCAGTCGAAGGAAGAATCTGAGATTGATATATCGGATGCTAAAATTTCGGAAATACTGAAATCTAACAGTTTACGAGTAAAGTATTCTAACTTATTTTTGTAGACTGTGTCCAACCGTGTAGCTTTTACCTATGTATCTAATTCAAATGGTATTTCCTTTGTCTTTGTAGAATGCTCCTACTCGGACGCTGTTTGACATGCTGGATAAACTTCTAGATGAGAGCGTGAAGAAGATGAATGGACATGTGTCTCACGTAAGACAAATATTGAGCTATTGATGCCTTCCTTCTATTAATTCTTTTATTCTGGTTTCCCTGAAATTTCAATCCTTAATTCATGGAATATTTCTTCTTATTCTTCATTTCTTTCTTTTCCTTTTTGTTGTTCAGGCTATGGCATCACTCTTGAGCGCACTTGTGCAAGTGATAGAACAGAGAATCTCAAATCAAGCTGAGAACCTGAAAAATGTAAGATTACACTATACTTTTCTTCGTTGTATCTCCCGTTATGTACATATAATCCTTCTGACCAAGCAATGAAACATGCTTATGAAATGTGCAGCAAAATATACTCTTTAGGGTGCGTGAAGATAAATACAGGTCAAGAATAAAGGTCTTAGAAACCTTGGCAGCTGGAACAAATCAGGAAAACGAGGTACTATTGTCTCTGGTTTCAGTTTTTCTCTTCGCTTATAAATTTGTCCTTCTGCTATTTGTCTTTCTTGTAGATTGTGACGAACTGTATGGAGCATATAAAGGTATGTTATTGAGTCATTATGTATCATCTCGTTAATACATAGTCAACCTTTAAATTAGTTCTTGCATTTGGAACAGTTGGTTTATATTAGGTCCATAATTTTTTTTTGCATAATACTTGTGGAACGTGACGTTTAAACCAACCCTAGATATTGATATTACAAAGTCATTGTCTATGCGCCCCATACTTAGTAACGTGACTCATGCATCATTTTTCATTCCGCTTGTGTATTAAATTTCTTTAGCACGAGTTCTCCCAATAATGGTTTTGTTGTGCTCTTTAGCTTGATAAAAACAAAATAGAAGAAAGAGAAAGGTCAGAAGAAAAAGATGTGGTGCGTCTGAAAAGAGAAAAAGAGCTCAGTGATGCTGAGATTCGTAAGCTGAAACAAGAACTCAAGGTGGTGAAAGAGACGCATGAAAACCAGTGCTTGGAGTTAGAAGCAAAAGCTCAAACTACTAAAGTTGAGTTGGAGAATAAAGTAAAGGATGCAGAGTTACAAGTTGCCAATTCAACTAGGAAGGTCAAAGAACTCGAGAAGTTGTACCAATCTAAATCTAAAAAATGGGAGAAAAAAGAATGCACCTACCAGAACTTCATAGACAACCAGTTTGGGGCTTTGCAGGTTAGGCTTTAAAATATAGCATAAGTATTCCAAACATTAAATACCTCTGGTAGTTTCTTCGTTAATTGACATAGTTTTTTTGTGAATTATGCAGGCTCTGAATGCTACTTCAGTGTCTATAAAGCAAGAAGTCTTGAGGACACAGAAGAAATACTTTGAAGACCTAAATTACTATGGTAAGATTCATTTTTGTCACCAATTGTGTATGGTTGCGTGGTTAGTTTTTCTATTCTAAAGTACATGGCTTGATATTTATAATATTTTTCCTAGGTTTAAAGCTCAAAGGAGTGGCTGATGCAGCAAAAAATTACCATGTGGTCCTTGAAGAAAACCGAAGACTGTATAATGAAGTGCAGGAATTGAAAGGTAAAACACTTTGGGTCAATGTACATTGGTTGCATTCGACCATTCAAGATATGAAATTTGTTCTCTTGCATTTATTTTCCAGGAAATATCAGAGTCTACTGCCGGATAAGACCATTCCTTCCAGGGCAAAACAGTGGACAAACTTCAATAGAGTATATTGGTGAGAACGGTGAATTGGTGGTTGCAAATCCGTTTAAGCAAGGGAAAGATACCCATCGACTATTTAAGTTCAATAAAGTTTTTGGTCAAACATCAACGCAAGGTTTAAACCTATTTCCTCTTAAGTTTATAGATTAACTTGTTAAAGACTTTCATGTAGATATTAATATCTCCTGAAATCTGTTTTTTTTTTAATGCAGAGGAGGTTTTCCTAGATACTCGACCATTAATTCGATCCATTCTTGATGGCTATAATGTGTGTATATTTGCATATGGTCAGACGGGCTCTGGAAAAACTTATACAATGGTGAACACAATGCTTGATTTTTCTCTCTTTTTATGTTTCAGCCAAGCATTATTACTCTCTAACTCACATACTGTATTTCCATTTTGCTAACTCAGAGTGGACCAAGCATCACTTCAAAAGCAGACTGGGGTGTCAATTATAGAGCTCTTAATGACTTGTTCCATTTAACCCAGATTAGACAAAACACTGTTGTGTATGAAGTCGATGTTCAAATGGTTGAGATATACAATGAGCAAATTCGAGACATACTTTCTGATGGTGGTTCCAGTCGAAGATATCCTTATTTAAGCTAATATTGTGACTAAATATTTTGTCTTTCATGTACATACACACATATTTATTTATATGTTTGCATATGCTTGGTTCAAGAGAAAATTTCCTTAACTTGCGTACGTTAGGGGTTTGGAATACTGCCTTACCAAATGGGCTAGCTGTCCCAGATGCAAGCATGCATTCTGTGAGATCAACTGAAGATGTGCTTGAGCTGATGAATATTGGGCTCATGAACAGAACAGTTGGTTCCACAGCTCTCAATGAAAGGAGTAGTAGATCACACTGGTTTGTAAACTTTTTTTCACATCTTGTTTATCTTCTGATATTATATAAGCATAGTTTCCCAATGATTAAAGCAAAGACAATGTTTCACATTCTCTGCAGCGTTCTTTCTGTTCATGTACGTGGAGTCGATGTGGAAACCGATTCTGTGTTGCGTGGTAGTTTGCACTTGGTCGATCTTGCTGGAAGTGAGAGAGTTGATCGCTCTGAGGTCACTGGAGAGAGGCTCAAGGAGGCTCAACATATAAACAAATCACTGTCAGCCCTTGGAGATGTCATATTTGCTCTAGCGCATAAGAACCCTCATGTGCCGTACAGGAACAGCAAATTGACACAAGTCCTTCAAAGTTCTTTGGGTACTTTCTTAACACTTGTTAAAGTAAACGTTTAGATCTTGGCTACACGTATTGCATGATACATACTCGTTGGGTTTATGTTGTTGGTTCCCTTAACTATTTTGTTTTTGTTATTGTTTTGTAGGAGGACAAGCCAAGACTCTTATGTTTGTTCAAGTCAACCCTGATGGAGACTCTTATGCTGAGACCGTTAGCACTCTGAAGTTCGCCGAAAGAGTTTCTGGTGTGGAGTTAGGTGCAGCTAAAAGTAACAAAGAGGGACGAGATGTTAGACACCTCATGGAACAGGTTCTTATTTCTTTCTCTCTCTTTCACAAGATATTTTTCTTGCCATGGATTGTGAACATAACAAAAGGTATATATATTCTGATATAACAGGTATCAAACTTAAAGGATGTTATTGCCAAGAAAGATGAAGAGCTTCAAAATGTTCAGAAGCTAAAAGTTAACAATACAACTGTGCCAAAACGTGGTTTAAGCAATCTAAGATTGTTGGGGCCTTCATCACCTAGAAGACACTCTATAGGACCATCACCAAATGCTCGACGAGGAAAGATCTCCGGTTTATATGGGAGAGCAACCTCAGATGTTGACAACTGCTCAGAATATAGTAGCAAGCATTCTGATTTTGGTTCACCACGTTCATCGAAGTTTGCTGGTGGGTCAAAAGAAATTGACCTTGAAGATGATATCGAACTCATAGGCCTTGGGGATGCAGATTCTGAGGACAGATTGAGTGATATCTCTGATAGCTGTCTTTCGATGGGAACAGAAACTGATGGCTCGATAAGCAGTGCAGTGGAGTTGACTCTTTTTCCTGAAACTGAGAAGCCTCTTGAAATAACGGAACAACCTGAGACACACTTGGCACCTGAGAAACTCGAGAAACCAGCAAAAATTGTGAAAGCAGTGCCCAAAGACAAGTTAGTATTCTCTACTATCACACTTTAACGGAACAACCTGAATGCTAAGATAAACAGATTTTTATATTTGCTTTGTTTTGGGGTTTAAATGCAGGTCTAGTATTCCATCAAAGATTCCGAAGCAGACCTTGAAACCACCAGGCCAAACCAGACCTTCTCGTTTGTCAATTGCCACTAGCTCCTCCTCTAAGGCCTTAACAAGTAATGTCTCTATACATCAGCTCTTTCACTTGTGTCATAAAAAACAATTCGTTTGCATAGTTACACTCAAGTCAGAAATTAATCATAGCCTACTTATTACTAAGAAAGATCATATGAAGTAGATGGTCGCTTTTACACAATGGAAATATCATATATGATCTTTAGTGTCAATATGCTGCGTGAGTCATCTAACCTTGTTGATTGGACTCAGGTGCTAAAAGACCAACGATTAGCACTTCAACTTCAATGAAACCACTAAACAGAAGGCGGTGAAGACTCAAAGGCTCATCTGGAGGGGTGGAGGAAAATTTGAGATGGATCTGAGCTGTTGGTGTTTGGTAGCTATTTGTGTAACTAAGTATGTGATGTATTCTTCTATGTAAACCTAATTAACAAACACCAAATGCTAATTTAATGCTGTCCACTTAAGCTTTTGAGGTTTTCTATATTAAAGGTTTTGATAACTTTTGAGAAAGAGGGAAGAAGTTAATTGGCTACTGATAGAGAGTTTACAACACGATTCCTTCTCTCTATCTCACACTCTTGTTACTGAATAGTACTGATATTATTGATGATTGAAGAGATACGGTTAAGGAAACCCTCAAAAACATTGGCTTATCCTAAGTTGATCTCATAAGGCGCTCGTCTCTAATCTTAATTAATCAAAAGCTAACCTCTTAAGAACAGTCAAATCTCTTATTTATAGTCAAAGCTCAACCAATGAACAAAGATATTTTGTCCAGCTCATCATTCTTCAAAAATTTCCCTCTTCTTTCCTCGGGAGAATATTTAAAATATAAATAAAATATTTCGGTAGATGCCATATTACAGGACTAAAAATGCCAAGAACTTTCTTCGGTCTTGCTCAGAAGTGAATAGTCAACAAGTGAATAGTGAACGCGGCTTTGTCGGGTCATATAATATGGTTTATCACAAAGGCATTTTTTGTACATCTCATCTTGAACTCCTCTTCCTACTCTACTCTACCTCATGGATTCTTCTATGAAATATCACCTCTTCGCCAGTAGCTACGGAAAAGGCGTCCGCCAGACTTTTCTAAGTCATTTATGCAGGCAGTTAAACCAAAATGGGATTACGATGTTCATTGATCAGGATATGGAGATAGGTGAACCCATCATACCTTATCTCATAGAAAGGATCAGGGAATCCAGGATCTCGATCGTGGTGCTGTCCAAGAAATATGCTTCTTCTAAATGGTGTTTAGACGAATTAGTGGAGATTTTGAAGTGCAAGGGAGAGATGAGACAAATAGTGATGCCAATCTTCTACGGAGTAGATCCATCCGATGTTCGGAAACAGATTGGAGATTTCGGGAAATTTTTCGAGAAAACATGTGCTGGTATAACAAAGGAGGAGAGTCAAAGATGGAGTCAAGCTTTGACTGATGTGGGCAGCTTAGCCGGGGAAGACTCCCGTAACTGGTTTGTTATTTCTTGCTCTGTTCAATTGTTTATTTCTTAAAATCCGATTTAAAAAAGTTTATTAATGAATCTACAATTTTTTTGGTGATTTTTCTTTCTCACATTGTCAGGGACAACGAATCGAAGATGATTGAAAAGATTGTTAGAGATGTCTCAAACATACTAAACGCTACAATTTGGAAAAAAAGCCGGTATTCCACTGGAATTTCCTTCCTCATCGCAATCAATTTGCTCCTGGAGATTACATCAGCGGTTGCAGACCAGCTCTCCTCTACTCGCAAGCCTTACTTCGCTAGAATCTCCTTAGTGATTTCAGTTCTCTCTCTTATCCTCTCCATCCTTGACTTTATTTACAAAGTTCGAGCCCATAAAGCTCGTTTCCGTTGCAAGTGGCCTATGCCTTGGTTCTACTATCCATCACGTGGCTACAACAGAATCTTTGGAAGTTCCGCAGATGCTATCTTATTTTTCTGTGTTGTTGGTCAGTTAGGAGTGTCCACGGTCAATTTTAGCTTTATTGACAGAGGACGAGATGGTCCCATCAAAGTATCAGTGTGGCCTCTCGTCTTTGCTGTTGGTATGGTAGTCTCCAAGTTCATGGAGAAACCAACCATTTCCAAGGAGAGTTAACTCTCTCAAAAATGTATTGATTGATTTGGTATTAGTAGGAACTTGTTGGAGCGTCCTTCCTCTGTTTCTCTGCACAATTCTACAGTCATTCCAACGAACTCGATCTTAACGCCTCTTAAAATGGTCGAGATGGAGGTATGCACACGGCTGCTAAATTTCCATGTATTTCTATGAACATAAAAATTCATTGTAGCATTGTAGTAAAAGAAGTGCTTACGTCAATTACGCTTTGGTTTCATTTTCAGCATTCCCACATAAAATGGCAATGGTAAGCCCTAGACTTGAGCAACAGTGGATTGAAATACTTGCCACGTACGCAAATAGATTAAGCTCAAACTAAGGGGAACGTTTCTCATTTGATAAGCTTTTTTTTTTTATCCTTTTGTATGTAAGCCTTTTAAAACCCAAGAAAACATAGCAAATGGTTTTGATGTTTTATTGAAGAGAAATAAATTTGCAAAATCAAGGTTTTAGTCCTTGACCTCTCAAACAAATTAGACTTAGTTAATCACTTGTGCCAGACCTCTTTTTCCTGTTTTTTTTTGCTGTCATATTAGCTTTTGCTTCCGTTAAGCAGCCTGGCTGGCTGGCTATCATTTTGAACCATAAGAAGCTAATAAAACATTAAGTTGACACATTTGATGTCTGAAGCAGAACATAGAATTGCTTTTGGATGATTCAGTCATACAGTTTAGAAGGTATATATTGATGTATTAGGATTCTATTTAGTAAGCAAATCGAACGCAACACTATTTTGGGATAACTTAGGCAACAAGTATGTTGGTTCTCTCTACTCTTAAAAAAGTCGAAGATATTGATTGTTTGTGCTCTCAAAGAACAATGCTTCATGGAGTTGGGAGTTTAGATGAGCTGTTGGAGACTTGAAGTGGAAGGAAGATACTGAGCTAGAAGTGATGGCAGTCTTCTATGGATTCATTAGATGACTTTTGAGAAAGAGCGAAGAAGTTTCTTGGCTACTACCAACAAATTTCAGTACATGTTATATTACAAAGGACTGAAAAGGCCAAGAACCTTGTTAGGTCTTCCTCAACAGCGAATAGTCAACACTGAACGCGGCTTTTTGGATCATATATGGCTTATCACAGAGACATATTTCTTTGTTACATCTCATCTTGAAGCTCTCACCATACCATATCTCATGGCTTTTTCTTCTCCTATGCCTCGCAATTTAGTTGGAGAAATCCTCGAAAACAGGTTGGTCTTTTTGCGTCGTTCAAACTTTGGGACATTCTTTCTTAAAATCCGATTTGGTAAAAGTTTATTCATGAATCTACAAATAATTTCTGTTTAATTTCTTTCTCTCTTTTAGGGACGATGAGTTAGACTTAGAGTTGATAATAAAAAATGTCGAATTACTCAACCAAGACTGGTTCGGTCCTGAAAGCAGTAGAATAAGCACGGCAGATAAAAAGGTTTGGCAGAGAAATAAAAAAACGTCGTGTGAATGTTCCATCTAATGAAGGAGCTCTCCCTATAAGTGAACCATCAATTTCTACCAAAAGCAGGTATTCAATTGGAATGGCCTTCTTTATCATCATCATCAACTTGCTTCTGGAGATTGCATCATCGGTTGCAGACCAGCTCTCTTCAACTCGCAAGCATTATTTCGCTAGAATCTCCTTGGTGATGTCAGTTCTTTCTTTTATATTCACCATCGTTGACTTCATTTCCAAAATCCTAGACCATAAACTTTATTCCAATGCAAGTTGCCTATTCCTTGGTTCTACTATCCATCACGTGGCGAGAGCAGAACCTTTGGAACTTCCACTGATATTATCTTACTAGTCTGTGTTGTTGGTCAGTTAATAGTTTCCACGATCAATTTTGGCTTTGCTGAAAGAGGACGTGACGGTCCCATCAAAATATCAGTGTGGCCTCTCGTCTTTGCTATTGGTATGGTTGTCTCCAAGTTCATGGAGAAGCCCCACTAGGGTTAGGCGTTCGGATACCCGTTCGGATTCGGATCGGGTATTTTGGGTTTTCGGGTATTTCGGTATTGGGGTTTAGGACCCGTTCAGGTATTTTTATATATCGGATCGGGTTCGGATATTTTTAGTTCGGGTTCGGTTATTTCGGGTCGGGTTCGGATATTTAGATTTTAAAAGAAAAATGTCAAATTTTTATTACTTAAGTTTCATGTATTTAAAATTTAACTATTAACTTAACTGTTTTTAAATGTTTAATAAGTTAAACGATTAATAAGTTTGAAAATGAGTTATTGAAAATAAAAATCATTATTTTGGTTGTTATTTTCGAATTTTGGATGCAAATTTTGTTAAAATATGAAATAAGAAGCTTAATATGCATTTTAAATGAGTAATAAATCAATTTGTTTTACAATTGTATGTGTATTATCTGATTATAAACTATATATAACATTAATATAAATATTTTTAGTAAAATGAGATAAATAAACTAGGAATAAATAGGTATATATACATATGTTTGGTTATCTTTGGATACCCGTTCGGGTTCGGGTATTACCCGTTCGGGTTCGGATATCCAAACTCTCCTAACTTAATACCGTTCGAATATTTTGCTACTTCGATTCAGATTTCGGTTCGGATATTTCGGATCAGGTTCGGATACGAATTCAGGTATCGGGTAAAGTGCCCACCCCTAAGCCCCACCAGTTCGAAGAAATTGTTTAACGAAAGTCTATTTATTGGTTACACTTTTTAGGAAGTGTTTTGAAGGTTGAATAAATAAAATATTTGTATCCTTTAAAATGGAAAATATTAAGAGTAATATAATCATAGAAGAAATGTGTAAGTTGACTTTATTTTGAATTTTCTGGCTCAAAATTCTCGAAAGTTGTACTTAATTTAGTAACTAAAAGTGTTGAGAATTAGCAAAAAAAAGAGTGTGAAATGTCAAAGATATCATTTATTTAAAGAAAATTGGGCTATATAACAAGGAAAAAGCATAATTGGATAAATAGCCAAAGACCCTATCTTTTCTATACATATATTCAACTTTATGTAATAATGCTGTTTTGTCTCCAAAATCAACCGGTGCAACTTGTTAAAAAAAAAATTAATTATTAATCCACTGCAAGTAATTCGTGGTGTTTTGTAGAACCACATCATCTCTTTTTAGTGCATATACTATTTATACATATAGAATATAAATTTAAAAATTATGTTACTATACTATTTAATATATACCATACTATGTATTTTGTTTCATTCTATTTGGGTTTAAGGTTTATTCTTGGATTTACAGTTTAGTGATTAAGATTTAGGAGTTAGTATTTAAAAGGTGAGGGTTGAGGTTTGAATTTACTGACCCTATCATGTATTGTTCCATTTGATGATTAATAAAAAGTGTTTTATTTTCTCATCAATAAGTACTATTCTATGTATTTTGTTTTATTCTATTTGGGTTTGTGATCTACATTTGGGTTTAGGGTTTAGTGATAAGGATTTAGGGTTTAGTATTTGGAAGGTGGGGGTTGAGATTTGGGTTTACTGATCCTATCATGTATTGTTCCATTTAATGATTAATAAAAAGTGTTCTATTTTGCTCACCAATATGTACTATTCTATGTATTTTGTTCCATTCTATTTGGGTTTAGGGTTTAGTGATAAAAATTTAGGATTTAATATCTGGAGGTTGGGGATTGAGGTTTGGGTTTAGTGATAGCAGTGGTAAAAGAATATGTTTGTGGTAATTATGTGGGAGTTATAATTTTATACTATTTTGACGATATGGAATAAAAGTTGAGAGTGTTTCAAAAAAAAAAAAAAGTGTTTCAAAAGAATAGAAGTTGAGATAATGTTTAGTATTTAGGATTGTGAGTTGAGTTATAATTCTATACTATTTCGACAATATGGAATAGAATATTCGATATACATATATGTGGTTACAAAATGTGTGACGTGGATGTGATAGTAAATACACCACAAAAAACGATGTTATCTATTTTCTGATTTTTCACTTGCAACTGGAAACTTGTTAATTGAAAGGACATAACCGGATTATTTGTGGTATAAATGTGTGACATTAAATTATGTCAAAATCATTGCTATTCACCTAACTTACCTTTCAAATATAGCTAGTATACAAATAAGCCCCCTATTCAATACACTACAAGAAAACCCGTCGAATACTAGGACGAGTTTTCCTCGTTATTTCCTAGTAAATGACCATTTACTAGGAACTTACGAGGAATCGCGTTCCGTCGAAACATGTTCATCGTAAAGCCTTTTTGCTCGTAAGGTCCTAGCTAATTTACGAGGAAACTTTTCGTCGTAAACGCGTCAAACACTTTTCCTCGTAAGGTCCTCGTAGTGTTTCCTCGTAATGTCATAGTAAATTATTTCCTCGTAAGCTCGTAGTAATTCGTTACGAGGAAGTTACTAGAATACTTTACGAGGACATTACTTCGAAACCTTTACGAGGATTTTGCTTCGAATTATTTGTTTTCCGTATTAAAAAAATATTAATTATAAATATAAATAATATATTTTTAAAAAATTAAAAAATCAAATTATAAATAAAAAAATAAATAACTAAATATTTTATAAATAACTAAATAATATACAATTAAGTTTTAAAATTCATAATATACAATTAAAAATAAAAAAACTACGGATGGTGTTCGTTAAATTGCCTAACGAAATCGTCATGGCTCGCCAAATCCTCCTCTCCAAAGTTGGTTGCTAGCTGTGACTGTGATGGTGGAGGCTGTTGGGTTGGAAGCCCTCCGCTTTCCCCGTCTCTGACGCAACATCTCCGCCAATTGCGGGTTTCCAACCGCCAAAATGTCGAGGACATCGGTGAGAGAACTCACATGAGACTGCGTCGCCTGCAACTCCGAGCGCAGCTGAGCATTGACATCGTGCTGTTCCTGAGCATAAGACGATGTCGCTGTGGGGACATCGTTAACGGAGCCAATCCGGACGATACACCCCTTTTTCCTAGGGGCGACCTGTAAATAAAAATATTAATAACGTTAAGAAAAAAATTAAATAACTAATAAAAATTAATAGTAAAACAAATTATTTACCTCCTCGTAAATCTTATCCACTTCAAGAGTGGATAATATGACTGGAGTCCCAGTCTGCTGAGTCAGATGGGTCTGGCGTTTGTCAACCCGGGCAACAACCTCGTTGTAGATCCGTCGGAAGCAGGATCTACAAACTGCCCAGCCTTGTTTCGGTGGGTCCTCTTGTAAAGGTCTTTCAGAGATAGAAGAACTCCTGTCTCTTTAGCCTAAAAATAATTTTTAAAATTAAATATTAATTTGGAATATTCAAATAGAGTAAAAATTAAATAATTATTAAAAATCATCTTACCATGTCTAGACGAACTCCCCCGTGAGGTTTTCGACCCGTGGTGTGAAGCATCTTCGTGTTGCCATGCTCGTCTTTGTCATGCGGTTCCCAGAGTTTGTGTGGGAGGTTCTGACCGAGTCCGGCAACCCCAAATATCTGATGAGGCCATCCCACACCTCGGTTGTGAGGCAATCGGGTTTCCCGTC